GGAGATGCTACCTGGCTGCCTTTTGAAGATGGTGGAAGGGGCCACCAGCCAAGCAAGGGCAGCAGGAAGGACAAGGGGACAGGTTCTCCTACAGAGACTCCAGAAGGAATGCAGCCTTGCCAACACCTGGGTTTTCGCCCAGTGGCCCCTTTTCAGACTTCCAACCTCTGTAACTCTAAGACAATAAATCTGTGCTGTTTTAAGACACTAAGTTTGTGGGAATTCTCTCTGGCATCAATAAGAAATGAACGCTGTGGCTGAGGAAGGGATTAGTGGCTGTCAGCAAAGGAAGGAAGAATAAATTCAGCTAGGAACACCTTGTACTGATGCCCAGAGTGAGACTGAGCCCTTTGCTGCCTCCTATTCTGATTACACCCGGGAGAAATTCCCAAGAAGATTTTGATGGAACAAGTTTCCCTACCTTTTAAAACAGTCTACAGAGTCTTTCAATAGCAACATAGAATTAGGGAATAGTTAAGATATTTGTGCTCCAGTAAACATCACACCCAAAGGTTGTCTAAGTTTTGAAAAGAAGGTTGAACCTATGAAGCCACTGAAATCTTAGAAAAGACTCTGTTAACTATGAAGACGGTAGGTGTGAATTATGCATTCAGCCACACAAGAAAAATTCATTGAGCTTCTTCTGTATGTCCAGCTCCCTGTGAATACAATGGTCAAAAGATGTCACAGTAATGTTTTTATGAAGCTTACAGCCTTCAAAACTTTATGAAAGTACTCAGGGCTATTCCTTTGGGAAAATATCAAATCTTAGGGCTGGAAGCCACTGCAGAGATGAACCAGTCAGATCCTCTATTGTGTAGATGACAAAAATGATATATCAAGAGGTCAATTAAATGAGGAAAATAGATAAAGTTTTATAGCCCAGGACAAAGAGTTTAACCTAGAACTTTCCCCATCATATGTAATAAGGCACTCTTCTAGCTTTAATCGTTTGTCCTAGGTTGTAAAATGAATTAATAGTGAAGGTGGGGCCAGAGCCCAGGCTTCTCTTGAGCTCATGGTGGAAATTTCTTTGACAATGTCCATTTTGGTAAAAATCTTTGGGACCAACCTCTTAGTCCAATGTCCCCAATTCACAGGAGAGAAAATCCAGTCTCAGAGAAGTCAAGGATCTGCTTCGAGAAGGAAGCGGTGGCCCCTTTAGGTTATCTGAAGGGTGGGGAAGAGAGAAAGCACAGAGGGCTGACCTGCAGAGTCCTGCTGAGATGCCCCTTGCTTTCTCCAGGAGGACAAGCAGCCAAAGGCAGACACTGGAGGCCAGTCCCAGGATGCCCCTGGGGGTGAGGACCGCGGGGCAGGTGCATGGGCTACCTAGTAGGCAGCTGAGTTCAGCCACTGCCTCTCCAGTGCCTGCTCTGCCCGTGGCCTGGCTCCTTCCAGCCGCGGTCCCCAGTCCTGAAGCCCCGCTGCCCAAGCACCAACTCCTGTGCTGGGTGATCCACCTCCCCTCCCCCACATGATGGGAGAGAGGCTCCCATGTTCTTTCTCCACTGATGCCTTGACTCTACCCCAGGGGACCCAGAGTTCATGCTCCCGGAACCCCCTCCTCACTCTGAGTCTCCTGCTTTCATGTCTAAAATGCGAGCTTTGCATTTGGGGGCATCTTTGGGCCCCAGACTCTCAAAAGCCTGGTGGGATTCTGGACCGGGCAGCAGAGAGTGCTGATCAAAGACCGATCAGATTGTAGGCAGGGTGGCCACCTAAAAGGCAGCATGCCTAGTTTGGGTGAAAGCAGGTTCCCACTATGGCAACAGGCTAAAAATCAAATCACTGCTTATCTGAAATTCAAGTGTAACTGGGTGCCCTGTATTTTAACTTACTAAATATGATCACCCTACATTTCTGGCAGATGGAGGCAAGGCTAAGGCAGGAATCAGAGTCTGCCTTTGTAGGGGCTGTTTGGAAAGAAGAGAAAATAAGAAGCAAGGGAAACACACTAATCCTTTAGAAGAGAAAACTGTTTTTGATCCTTTGTGCATGGTGTGTGCATGTGCATACACACATGGTTCTTTGTGTTCTATTGACACAAGGATTATGGTTTTGAGGAAAATTGTTGACAGTGATACTGATCACAGATATTGACATAACAACAGTGGGAAGACTAAGAAAAAAGTGATTAGTTTAAAAGTAACACTAATTACTGCATTTAAGTGACCATACTGCCTGTGATTTACACCCCAATGTCACACAGCCCAATCACAATTTTGCTTGTTGCCAGTCTTTGTGTTTTCTGAGAAACGCAAAAGGTTTCCAAAGGGGCCGACAAATCACTGAGTCCAACCTTGACATTAACAGATTAAGTAACCGAGACTCAGAGAGGGGACCAGGCTGCCTAAGAAAATAAATAATATAACAATATTTTTTGAGGGTTTATTAAGTACCAGGCATTTTTCTAAGTGCCCTACTGGTATTATCACAATAATTTCCACCACAACCTTATAATCATTCTCATTCTTCAAATGAAGCAAAGTGAGGCAGAGAAAATTATGTAATTTATCTAAGGTTTAAGGTTATACAGCTGATAGGTAAAGGTACCTGTTAGAACCACAGTGAGTTTCACACTAGACCCACACGCTCAATGGTGAAACCATGCAGCCACGCAAGTCAGCTGAGTTTATACCACAAAACACATTTGTCCACGCAAACGTTCATGTTAACTGCTCCTGCAGCAGGACTTGGTAGTGAATAGTAAGGTCACGCAGATACAGCTGATACAAAGTCCCTTGTAAGCTGCTGCCACCCACGTCAGTTTCAGAGCTGAAGCAGTTATCTGCTCCCGATAAACCAGCCCTATCACACGGGAGTCTTGCCACCATCAGATAACAACTTATCTCTTTTTTGAAATATTTTAAATGAAATACACAAGAGTCTATCTCACAGCAGACATTAGCAGTGAGACAGTTTTATGAGTTTACATTTTGAGTAGCTTGTGAAAGAAAAAAAGAAGAAAACGAAAGAGAGAAATCAAAGGCGAGAAGAGGCCTTCCTTATCCATGGCTAGCCACCAAATAAATCGAGGACTCTTGGGAAGGAGCCTTCTCATTCACATGCTGCCAGTCGGGCCCCTGTGCTGCTGCAGGCATAGCTGTAACTGCGTCCAGGAGGAATGATCACCGCCTCACCATGACTTCTACATAGTTTTACCTTCAGCTTGTTTTTGTCTGTGTCTTTCAGGAGTTTATCAGCCCCTTGCATCTCAGATAACCAAATCGCTTTGTCCATTTCCAGACCACAGCTTCCTTCCGTTTTATCAAAGGTAGAGGATTAAGCCTGCCTACGTCTGCTTTGATACCATGTTTTCCCAAAGCAACCCTTCTTGGGACACAGAAGTCTGTTCAAATTTCAAAATAAAAAACAAAAGTGAGGCTGCAATTGGAATTCTCTGACGCTCCAGGGTCCAGGTCTGCAGGATGTACGGGAGACACAGGGACTCCGCCAACCCACTAAAACAGGAATTGGGAGCAGTGTCAACACTGTCTTCCCTGCCTCTGCACTGCAGACCAAGGAAACATTCGTTTGATAAGTCTGTTTCACAATTCTGCTATCAAGAACATCACCAAATCCTTCTAGAGACGAACCAGCCCCTTCCCTGCCCCTACAGGAAACTGGCCAAGTGTGCATTTGAAATGAGTGTGGCTTCTTGCAAAACAAATCTACATCCTCTCTCCTTCAGAAAGGTGGCAGTGTTGCCCTGCAGTTTTGACCAAATTACAAAGCAGTGGCAATGTCTCTAGTGGATTAACAGACCAACCACCTCACCTCACCACGGAAAGGAAAGGAAGGATTAATCCACTGCAAAACCTAGTGCCTGGCAGACTTGCCTCAGATTTTTAGGGCGCTGAGTCTTGTGGCTGCCTAAGTTCTCAAGCTTTCACCTCATTTCAACAGCACAGAGCCTAAGGAAATCTCCAGTGGACTCCAAAGAGATCTAAAAGCCCAGAGCATCTCTAAGGAAGTCCCAGATGACCCTACTTTCCAGCAACCACTCTTCTCATTTTTTGTAACATCCGCCCAAGTGAAACATGGAGTGGTCCCATTTGGAAGGACTCTGGAAAACTTCGCAAACTCGGCAGGCATCCTTCTAACACCTGTCATGGGAAACGTTCACAACAGAGTTCACATAATGTAACCCATCTTCTAAGCAGAAGTACCATTCACTGAGTGGTCTGCTACCACTTTTACAAAAACCAACATATACAGAGCTACTGAGAAAGAACTGAAGACATCTATCTCCCTGTCTAAATGCAGAGACCCACACATCAACACCTTCCAGGCGCCAGGATACTAACCCTACGTGCGGGGCAGTTAAAGCCCCATCTTCTCTCCGCTCACCTTCACTCAGTGTCCTCTGAGAAGTTTCCCTATGCACCACTAACACAGAAATTTGGGGGGAAAGTCTCCATTTATAAGCATCAGATGGTTTGGGAAAAAATACTTGTGGCACTGGACTTTTTTTTTCCCTATAGTGATGTCATTTTAAATACTTGGTGTGCTCCAAATTTGCTATTTTTACTTCCCCCAAGTGACTTTTTTGGGAAATACATTTGTTTGGAGTAGCTACATTTTAAGTGACCCCTGTATCTAACACATGACATCAGGTTCATCCTCTCAGCAATTATAGCTGATAACCACGCAGCTCTCAGACTAGAAATCCCCTCCGTGTTCATGTTCAAGGTTGTTCCTTTTTGATGTATCCCTCCAAAATGTCTATTCACAGATACAAGAGACAAAAAATAAAAGAAAGGGTTGGCCTTCTCACAAACAGAAACCACATTCTACAACTCAAAGCGTTTACCGCAGAAGACGTGAACGGCCCTCCCTCAAGGCAAATAAAATTCTTCACTTCCAAAATTTGCTTTTGGGGAACAGAATTGAAGTAGCCATGGAAGGCTGTGAAACATTTACTGGAAAGCAGTCTGGAGTCCAGAAGCGCAGAAGAGGAAGAGTTGAAGAAGTAATGCTAAGCGCCTTCGCCCTACCTGATCTGAACTTGCTCCTAATCAGCAAAGAGTGCTCGGACCCCAGGAGTGTCATGTTGAGTCTCAGCGAGCCGCTGGTCCCTTGGCCGGATGCCCCCTGATTTCCACCAGGAACAGGCTCCTGGGAGCCCAGGTGACCGCAATTAACAACCCAGAATTCATCCAACTCTCCGCGAGCTCCCCCAGGTAGGAGTACAGTGGTAGCAAGTGACTGCAAACAGTGTCCCCAGAAAAGTGGCGGCTCCCCCCTCGCCGTGCGGGGCTACTCCAGTCTCAGCCGGCGGGACCCTGCGCGTCCTCCGAGTCTGGCCGGTCGCCGCGGCATCCCAGGCGTGCTCGGCTGATGTCATAGGCTGCCCGCGCTCGTCCAGCATCACCACCACGCCTTTATGAAGGTCCCAAGTTTGCTATCTGATCCTTTTTTACTACTGACAGGAGCTCAGCCAATCAGGAGCGGCGAACGGGGCCCGGGACTCGGAGCCGCCGGAGGAGTCCCGAGGGCCGGTCTTAACTCTTTGCGGCGGGGGCGGAAGCGGGG